GTAACTCAGTACTTTATTTATCGCCCTTATAGTAACCTATTTTATCATACTTTTCCTAGCCATTATTCTTTGATGGAGAATGATGTCAAATGTATTTTGAAAACACGAAGTTGGGCAGTCACCAGTTTTTCTGGTTTTGCCCCAGCAGTGACGTATTTAAGACCTCTTGCACGTTAGTTAAATGTGACCTTTTATACGTGAATCTTTGCTGCTTCACTTTCAGAAAAAAAGAAAAAAAAAGACGCTGGCTTTCCAAAAGTTCTTGCAGTTCTTCCTTTCACTGGGGTACGAAGAGTTTCACAACAATGGGAGTCACAGTAATTAATCTCATAGGAAATCAAAAGTTACAAGTAAAGTTTTCTTGAAGTCAAACTAACATCATCTTCTATACATAAGAGCATCGTGAGTATAAGATCCAGTGCCATGGGGTTTTTCTGGTGCTGGAAACAAGTGTTAGATTGCCTCTTGGGAAGGAGCGTCTTGCCCATTCTGTTGCTTGAATCTGTCATTTTAGATCTGTGAGATCAAAAGGGAGTTCATGCTAAATTTGCTAGCTCTGACAGCTTGATAGTTTTCCTGTCTTTCTTGCTCCGTCATTTAACCTTGGGTGAATTTTTGAGAAAGATGAAGTGGAGAGGAGGAAGGAGAGCAAGAAGAGAAGTTTTCAGGGGATAAGAAGATTTGTTTTTTCTCAGTCAGTTTGTTGTAACTGTTCAAAGATGCTCCCAGTTTTGGAGTGTCGGGTGAAGGTCTAGGGTGAGATGCACGAGCAGATATAGCCAAGTCCAACAGACCTCCGCACTGTATCTCTCTGTAGGACCTGTGAAGGACCCCTGCTTCTATGCAGGTATTGGATCTGCAGTGATGATACCTGCCTAACACATTGCACCCGTTTGTGCTCAGGTTTCCATTTTCCTGCTGCTGTATCCTTCATCCATGTTTCTGGGGAGTCCTTTTACTTCACCGTATTCAGTAAATCCAGACAGCCTCTGATTTCAAAACCGCAAATAAATATCAAAAGGAATTCCCCACCTCCCCCACCCCCCATGAGAAGAATAATTACTGGCATTTTAGGTCCAACTCTGATTTCAATGATAGTATGATGTTTATGTGGAGACAAGCTATTTTAGGTCATGTATAAGACTTTGTCAAGATCTTCATCTGCTGGAAGCCGGTGAAACCCCACCAAAGTGAACTGGGCCATGGCACCGCGCTCTGGCTGATGGTGTTTTGCTCTCCTGCTGCCCCACCCTCGTTTGGCACAGAGAACAGATAAGTGATCCAGGATTCAAAAAGGAACACAGACCTCTTTAAAATCTCTTCTTATTTCTAGCTTTTCCTCAGAATAAATGACTGACTAAATGTACCCCAAAGAGGCAGCTGGAAAAGCCTTTTCATCAAACCATGATTCTAGTCTGCATTTTTTTCATGAAATAATTTTTTTTTCCCCTAAAGAAAGCCCCATAAAGATTTAGATTTATGCATTGGATAAAAAGAGAGATCTTGCATGAAAAATGGCATATAATGATGATTAATGTAGTAAATGAGTGCCTATAAATATTTTGAGAATGTTAGGGAAAGTAAAAAAGAGATTTTGCAGTTCTTTAATATGCTGTGATGTGTGAGTCCAGTTCAATGACACTGAAATTTTGATTAAAATTAGATATTTGTAAATGGCAATAGAGAGGGTCTGAGGAAATCATGTTGCATTTATGTTTTATTGTTTAGAAAGTGTTTCTTTGGCTTGGAGATATTTATTCTTATTACTGGACTTAGGCTTATTTCTGAATTTTGTCTCTAAGCAAAGTTTTGCTTTTTTTTCTTCCCAGTAGAAGTAGAAAAGTAAGTTTTTGACCGAATCTCTTATTTTATATGCAGCGACAATATACTCTGGATTTATTACAACACAACTGCGGCTGAAAATTGTCCTTTTATAATGTGCTAATTAGCACTCTATACCTCTACTGTAGCATAAATTTATGATTATTTTCAAGAGCACAGTTAAAGTTATTTCATGTAAATTTACATAAAAAGATTAATGTATTTTTCATTTAATTTAATTAATGTATTTATTTTGATTTTCTGTGGACTTATCTATGTCTTTCCTGAACTTAAGAAATGGTCATTTCATATGTACTTAAAATATTGTTAACAAACTGAGGTTTCTGTTCTCCTATTAAATGGAGGGGGGGGGGAAATTAAATTGATATCTAAGGAGTCTACGATTCTGTAAATGTGACTGACTCCCAGAGTGTCTGCTGTAAGACCTTACTGTTCTTACAAGCTCTGAAGCTTTTAACTTCTCTCTTGCTATAACATTCTCTATTATATTCTCTTGATGCTTTTCTTCAGAGTCTGCAAATTTGATCAGAATCTTTTAATAAAAAACCACAATGCTATAAATAGTAGTAAATATAAAATTGCTTACATCAAAGGGCAAGCATATAAATAGAATTTTCGCATACATTTTTTTAGAAAGACATTCTTCTGTTTTGATTAGAAATTATTGTTATCTCTTCCAGCAAAACTTAGTAAAAAGCATACAAGTGCTTCATGCAGGATACTTCAGAAGTAAGGAACGTGTATTATGAGGAACTGTACATGGTATCACAATGTATTTTTAATTCTCTTTTTTATTATTTTAGTGGGGAAAAATATTAGTTTGCTGCTTTCAACGCCCAACTAATTATACACAATGAGAGGAAAATTTCTAAAATATTTCCTTTCGAAATTTTTGTTTGATTATTAAGAAAGCATGTAGCTTGTAAGTGTTTCACTGGTGATAAAAATATTTTACTTATGTAAAAATCTTCCAAACATATTTAAGGGTACCCACAGTACAGCTCATCATTGATCTGCAATGAGAGATGCTGGTTGTAGTTTATGTACACGTATTCCCTTTGGAGATGCCCATTCTTCAGGGCCAGTTTCTGGAGAAAGCTGATCCCCAGCAGGGATACTGAAGGGACTGTATCAGAAATCATCATTATTCTGTTGTGCTTCTTTGTAATAATAAAGAGTTGTACTTGCAACTGATTGCCCATCTCCTCTGTTACTGCAGTGATCCCTAAAGCATTGAACAGGTGATCTAAAATAGTTGGAATCGCATCCCTCTTGCTTTGGTGGGAAGGTTTGCATACCACTTTTGTTCTTTGATTCAAGCTTTTAATATTTACTTTAGATGATATTTATGCTTAGTGATTTGAAATAATCCTTTCAGCTCTGTTTACTTTTGATTCCTTTCAGACATTGACTGAGGTGCTTAAACTTTCCAATCTTCGACAAAAGCTAGCTCTGCCGTGGTTGCATGGGGTGCATAGGATGCCTCGTGTTTTCTGTAGGGGGACTTGCAGGGTGGTACACTTTATGTGCCACTAGAAATTGCATCTGAAAATACTGCAGCTAATTTCAGAGTTGTTATCAATGTTTTCCTTCTTCAGCAGCATGACATTAAAATTTCAGAACTTTGTGATTGTTTTGGATGCATACGCACTGCTCTCCTTCCATTAAGTTGTTGAATTCTCCTTTCCTGGCTCTTGTTCGTGTTCTGCATTGAGTGCATCTCTCCTGGTCTCCAGGATTTCCACTTTCATGACTTAGTTGTTGTTGTGTCATGTCTAAGGTTGTTGAAAAAGCTTTAAATTTTCTGAGAAAGTTCCTTGGTTTCAGAACTGAATGACATGATTGATTGTCTTGCTTCAGTGGTTTAGAGAAGCCTGTGTAGGTGTCTGTCTTGTTACTTCTGCTTGAATGAGATGGTGTAGATGGCATAAAAGTACTTATTTCCTTTCTTTGTTTTTTTTTTTTATTGACATAAGTCTATGAATCCAAGCTTTCCTTTCAGCTGGCCATTTTACCTATTCACTGAGCAGGCAGGTAGGTATGCTGAAAAATCATGTAGAGCCAAGACTTTTTAAAATCCGTTTCTTTATTTTGTGGTTTTTAACCAGATATTCCGAAGAGTTGTTATCCTGAAGAAGGTAGTGGCTGGTACTCTGCGGTTTTTTGTTACATTGACTGAGGTGTGTTAGCTGTCATTGCAGAGGGGAATCTGTCTTCCTCCTCATTTCTGCTTGCATGTCCCCTCTAGCTGCTTTCCATCGCATCTGCTCATGGGGTGACTATATAGTTTGTTTGGCTCAGCTTATCTGTCTGACAGAAAACGGATCCACTCCAAGTGATGAATAATTTTATGACGCTGCTCTGAGTTTCTGGGCAGTCACGCGAGCTGGCAAGGGAGAGCAGATGGGAATGCGTGGCTAGAATGGGGCAGAACCATCTGTTTTCGGCAGCAGCCCACAGCACGCAGCGCTGCAGTGTGTTACAGCCACGTGTCGGGGTTGAAGGATTCTTTGAACCTGGAAGGGCTGCAGTTTCTGGAAAGGGCTGAGTTTGTCTGGCTATCCAAAATGCGCATCTTGGTATCTCAGTAGGTTTGAGATATGCTTGATTGCACTTGAGCTTAAACTTGATGGTGAGCTTCCTGGGTTTGCACCACTCATCTCAGGGTGGTTACATCTGTGCAGTGTTTTTCATCTTAAGTTATTAATAGGCATTTTCTCTCTTAAATCCCCGTTAACAGCTTCTGTCAGGGAATAACTGTGGTCCAGGGTCACCTCAGAAATACATTAGCCTTGTGATTGTTTATCTTAGAGACATGTCAAGGGAGGATATTTCCCAGACCAAATCAATATGATGCAATATACGTACAAGTTAAAAACCAAACCAGAAAAACTCTACTCATCTTTGCTTTTATAGTGACTGTGGTGAATAGAATTTGTCGTTAAAATGTGCATTTAGTTTATGTACATGTAGAAATTCAGGTTAGGGCTTTTATGTTCTTCCTTACTGACAAATCCTCCTTTGGTACCAGCATACAGTCATGTAGAAAACTTGGCTATACTGTGCATACAGATCTAAATGATGGCATATGTAGCTATGTTGTTAGCAGACAGAAATAATAAAGTGCAGTAGAATGTTCTTTGCATTTAATAAGGTATATGATGAAAAGCGAACAGCTGGGCTGCCATTACTCCTTTGAGCAGAAAGTGATCGTGGTGACGCAGGTAGGTAAGTGAAGGTTAGTTAAGGATAGCAAACATACTGCAGTGGAACACAGGAATTACAAAACTAGCATTGGCCCCTAGTAACTTACTTGGTCCTTGGCCTGTCTCGTCCTGCTTCTGAGCAGCAGCCTAAAAGTTCACATCTAGCAAGAGAAGATGGAATCTAAAAAATCATTCAAAGCAAACTCTGTTGCCTGAGAGTTGGAAAAGAAATGCCAATGCTATCATGATAATTTGTTGATGGTTGGTTGTGCTATATTTGTGGTTGTGCTTGCTGTTGCCGGCCAGAAACAACTAAATGGCCGTCCTGCGTGTGGGTGGCTGTACCTGCTGTGGGTATCTGTCGTTGCCTTACAGATACCAGCCAGATGTGTCATGGGTTGTTTGGGACTAGCTCGAATCCCTTAATTTCAAAAAGGGATCAAAATGGGTGATGTGAGGAAATTACAGAATTACTGCCTTTTTTTTTTTGCTAGGAAGTAGGCTTTAGATATTGGTGATAATTAATCACGGAAATTGTTTACCCAGATAAGGCAAGCCATGTGTTATAGTCAGTTAGTTGTTCAAAGATTATACATTTGTTCAAAAGAGATACTCTTAAATCATCCAGGAACACATAGTGAAGACCTGTGGCCTGTGTTACAAGGCAGGTTAGATGTAATGGGGGTAGCTGAAAGGATATCTGACTGTGAATTGTATCTGCTGAGAGGCCTTCTAAGAAGCTTTCCAGTTAATACTGCGTCCTTCTAAACTGTCATGTAGATATCTGGAATTTCTCATCATGCAATTTTGCATGCACATTCACTGCAGTGGCACAGCTAGGCATTTTTATAGAGGGCACTCAGCCTCAGCATCCCCTAATAAGAGAAGCTGTCTTGACTTTTTTTTTTAAAGTAAACAACTTATTGTAAATGTGTATTCATGGTTGTTGTCTTTTTATTTATTAATACTCATCTATGTAGACATAAGAAGAAAATTCTGCTGCAAGGCAACTTTTTTTAAATTGCAAGGCAATTTAAAAAAAAAAAGTCATGGTTTCCTCGACTTTCTGTTTCTCTGTTGCTGTTCTTTTCCAGGGAAACTGGTGTTCTCAACTCTTCTGGATTTAATGCCTATTGAAAGCCCGCCAGTAGTTCTAAAGAAAGCGAATTTGATGATTCACATTATGCCACCCTGTCCTGCGTTTCCCAGAGTTTTCAATAAATCATTCGTTACACTTGTACTATCCTGTATTGTATTTATTTAGAGAAGTGTAGTTTAGAGTTGTAAGTGGTTCTTCAGTGTTTCCTCTTAGATTCCTCTGTCTACACGCTTCAAATCTTAATGTGCAGATTTCAATGGAAAGAAAATAAGAACAAAGTTGAAACTGCTCCAAAATGCCTGAAAGTAGCTTTTCTCACTAATTAGTTAAATAACATGGCTATTCTGTTTCTTGGGAGTTTTCAGGTCTAGAAACAACGGTTGTGTTTCCGTTGGATAGCTGAGTATTTTGTTGCACTACTACTAGAATAAATACTCTATTTCTGGCAGATCGTGAGTTACAAAGTATTCCCCTGTTTGTTCTCTATAGGACTGAATAAAAGCAGTTAATTCGGGGAAAATATATGGCAAAGAGAGAGAAAGAAACAAAGACAGACAGACACATTTCTCTAGCACCTATTTTTCTTTGGTTTTAGTGACTGCTAGGCGCTGGAGTTTTGGGAGCCTTTTGGAGGAGATATAGGTTACAGGGTGGTGAGTCAGAGCTTTGGAGAGAATGCAGCTAATCTGATTTTAGTCCATTGCTATCACTGGATGGGCTTAGATGAGAGTCTGTCGGAATGAACAGTTTCTTTCACGTGGTGTTGGTGAGATTTGAGAGTGTGTCGCGGGCTGACCAAAGCAGTAACGTCTCAGCTGTTCTCCACCGGTCTGTGTCCAGAGTCAGGTTGAGCAATAAGTAACCCTTTAGCCAGGGGAAGTTTTCCCCTTGTGGTTGCTCAGGATTTTGCCCAGGATGGAAGTTCAAAGAAAAGAGCTGTTTCCTATGGTGTGGTTGGATTAAGATGGGGGGTTACTAAGGCAGAGCCTCTGAGTCACAGGTTGTGTTGTTGGGAATTCTTGAATAAGCCTCATGGATTCAGAAAACAGAGCTCTTATTCTTTATCATAGGCTGCTTTATCCATTTCAGTGCAGTATTTTTGGTTAATGGCGTACTGTTAATTGGTAAAGATATTTACTTTATCTGTTCACAAACCTGTTTTGTCATAGCTGAATATTAATTCCAGTCTTTTCAATATTGCAGTCTACTCACATTGCTCGAGCCAGCTTCCAGGTTGATGCTTTTGGATCATCTTTCATCCTAGATGTGACGCTAAACCAGTAAGTAATGACTGTATCTTACTCTACATTTATTCAAGATGCGGCGCCTGTGAAAGATCATTTTTCAATGTAGGTTTTAGAGGCTGCATTATACCACAAATGCTATTTCTGGGTATTGAGTTCATCTGTAGTAGTGTATTTGAAGTTCTTTTGTTATTTTCTCAAATACTGTTGTAGGCTTTGATATTCCCATTGTTACTACTTAGTAGCTATTGCAACGTAACTAACATTTTAGTGTTATAATTTCATTTGTCATCTTTCAGTTTACCATAAAGGCAAATTACTATACTCATGGAGAGCCTCCTTGGATATTAAAAGATGGAGTTGCAGAAAACTGGTAGCTGTTACCATTTTAATAACGAAGTATAAAGTGCAAAAAAGAATGAGATGGATAGTTGGGAATGAAGTTTCTCTGGATGCATTTACAGCCGTTTGGGAACAGAGAAGCAATTTAAGGCAGTAGCACACTGTGAACTTCAGTTGATGAGGAAGAATTGAACAACAGTAAGCTTTGAGTGAAGTCTGGTATGTGTCTTTCAGTAATGAGTTTTTTGAAGTCGCTTTTTAGCACAGCTGTTTTAAAATAGGAGTTGCTTTTCTGCTCTGAACTGAAAAGAGGATAAATAGTATAGTAAATAGAAATGCTTTGTTAGGTAGTTCAACTCCTAATAATTGAACACAATGTGTGGTTTGGTGTAAGAGACAAACTGCTCAATTGCTACAAGGTTTTCTGCTGTAAAGATGAACTGTTCAGGTTGCAATAGGAGCCACTCAAATTTCAGTTGTTCTTCACTTGTAAACACATTTTAAACAGTGGCAATTTTTTTATGTGCACTGACGTGAGTTAAAAAAACGATATGTGAATCCTTGCTGGTTGCAGACAGCAGAGACACTGTGCTTCTGAAAGGAGAGGGAAGGGGGCTGATTTAGAAGTATGGTTTTATAACAAATGCATTTTAAAAGAATTCTAGAGGAAGAATTTCCTGCTTAAAAGCACCAAGTCCAGAGCATTGAAGTGTTTGTTGAAAATAGCAGTTTTGTATACATGTTTATACATTACTGAGAGTAGGTTGCATAAACCTGTTTTTATTTTGGGTGGCAGATTAATGATGTGGTCACAGTTAGTTTCTGAAAGGTCAGGATTTTCCTTGTGATGGATTTCAGGTCATTTTAATAAAAGTAAACACAGTTACTAATGGTATATGAAAAGACAAGTCAAGGATGTGATTTTATGAACTGCAGCAGTTCTCTGTAAGTGGATTTTTTTGTTTACACGCATGTACATATGCACATAACCTCAGAGACACAAGCACTTATGTTTAAAATTTGATCTGTGTTGAGCTGGATCCTATTTTTATGTCATACTTTTGTTGTTTTTAATGGTATTAGACCGGTATTTGTATCAGTAAGACTGTCGCAACATGTCCTTACTGCTCTTAAGAGTGCTAGAATCCAACTTAAATATGAACTTCCCTGAGGAGCTATGCTTTTGATAATGTGAAAAAAGTCCTTTCACAAATTGTGCAAAATTAAAACTAGAAGGCTGCAAGGTGTCGTGTTATTAAGGTGTTTGGCTTCTGTCATGATATTTAAATCAACATTTAGACTGCTTCTGAAATAGCATTTGCAGATCATCAAATATGAAGAGGGCCAAGTATACTGGAGCACTGTTTAAAATGTATTCTTTATTAGTATTCATGTGAACAAATCTGTTCTATTGAGCAGGCTGTATATATTTTTATTCTTTTCTAATTCTTATTCTCCATATTATATTCTGTATGTATTTTCTAAGAGAGAAAAGCACTGATTTTTCTGAGGAGTGATTTGCAAATGTAGCCCACGGGAGCTTTATATTTGAAAAGTAGTTGAATGCTTGGAAGGAACAAGGTTCAAGATTTCGTTTTCCTCTGGAAAAAATATCAGCTTAATATTTACAACTGAACCTCTGCTAATAACAAAAGCATGCTGAAGCAAGGTCTTTGTGGTAAAATTAGCTCTTATGCATAGTATATGTCTGAGGAATGTTAAAGGAAGTACATGAGACGAGTGGAAAAAATAATATAAGATACATAGGCTGATGGAAAGGATGGACTCTCGCAGCCTTTGTCAGTATCCTTTCTTCCAGTCTCCCTGTTGTTTAAAGGCTGGTGTGTGTGGCTTGTACATCTGAATATATCTGAGTGTCATCTCTAGTTCCAGTCTCAGTGGTGGACGGTCATGATGAAAGTGTTCATTCTTCCGTATGGTTCCCCAATTTATGGAGGAAAAAGGTTCAGAATTAAAACTATAGTAGCAAACAGAGAGCTTTAAAAAAAGTCAGAAACTAAAAATATACTGCCTGCTCCTTAATGTCTGCCTGCAAATAGATTTTCTTCGTTTGCTGCTTTCTCTGTGTCTTATTTTCTCTATTCTCTTAAAATCCATCTTTTTATCTGACAGTCAGTGTTTCCATTGCCTTTGCTACCTTTGCCTGTGCTTTGTTGTACATCCCTCTGTTATGTACCCATTTGTGTTTCATATTCTGTTCCATTTGTATTTTTTCATCTCTTTTCTTACTTGATTCTCTAGAGAGTCACATGTTTCTTTCTCTTCTTTTTCTGTCAGGAGTTACTGCCCCCTCTGCCATCATGGTAGATACCACACAGCTTCCTTGGTTTTCTCTCAGCCTTCTTGACAGTTTTTTGTACACTGACAGTTGAGGCTGGCAGAAATGTTTATTATGGTCTCCTACTTGTCTCTCTTCCCCCACTGCCTGATACACTCTGTTTTGTCTCTTCACTTCACCAAAGGAGATGCTGCTATTGAATCTGGGTGTCAGCTGAAGCAACCTTCCTTTCCTAGTCCCTTCTTCCGCCTCCTCTCCACAACAGCGGCTGATCACCAAGGGCTGATCTCTGCAATGAAACACGCTGGGAAGGTACAGGAGGTGGGCAGGGCAATCATTGCAAACATGAGGAGAACGGAGGCCCAGGATGGGATGTTCTGTCAGTCCTTGATGCGAGTGAGAGGAAGGAAGAATAAACTTCTAGCTGGCATTAGAATGTGGCAGTTTAGCTTTGAAACCTGCATGCTTTCTTCTTGCTCATTTTGGATCTTAGCCAATTTTGAAAGCGATGTTCACAGTAAATGCAGATGTGAGGTACACTGAAACATTACCTTGAATATAATAAAAAATAATAATAAAAAGCTGATATAGTTACAGTGTAGTTTCTTTTTTTTAAGTGGTGGTATTTTGTCCACATACATCACCATGCTTTCTCTTCCTTTTTTCCCCATGAGTTGCCATAGTGTCTCTACAGTAAGCTTTTCTTAAGATGCAGTGTTTCTTTTTTAAATTTTTTCGCCTGTTCAACTGGCTGAAGTATTTACAAAGGAGCTTTCAGATCAAATCAGCTGTGTTTTTAAAGGATTCAGTCCCTTAGGCAAAGGTTAGGGATGCATTAGTTGCATCGGTGTCTTTATGAATCCATTGCCTCGGTATCCTTGTGCATTCGGAATGGCATTTAATGGAGCTGTTTTCTGTGGCCAGCTTCGTTAATGCCGCCCTCAGCATTAGGGAATGTGGGGCCGGGCTGCTGGGTCACGGAGGCGGCTCGCTGCCTTCCCTTCTTCAGCACGCCTCTGGCTCTGGCCATCAACCCAGGACCGTGCAGGAGCTGCATTGCAATTAAGTGTGCCTATTTATTTATTTTTTTTAATTCCTTCACCTGGAAGTTTTTAATACTGTGATAGCATCTGTGGCCAAGCAAATGGCTATTTCTTTTTTTCATGCAGAGTATTTCTTCTGAAATGTAGCCACGTGACCATTTACACTCTCACCTTGGGTTGTAGTTCGGTGATTAAACAGCAAAGCTCCCCAGGCAATGGCCCCTGTTTCAGAAAGCCTCTTTGAGGCCCCTTTGGTCCTGTGGACTGCGTGGGTCTGTCTGAGGGGACCTGGGACAGGGTGCGTCCATCTGCTTGTGAAGCAGCAGAGACCTGGTGGCAGAATGTGATTACGGGGTTGGATTGGGAAAGAGCGTGCTGCAAGTTTGTTAATCAGAAAATAATGTTATCTGTGCTTGTCTGGAGTGTGACCAGGCCCTGGCACAGGGTGGCCACCCCAGGTTCGCTTTGTGGTAACCACAACAGCCAAGAAGGATGATCATGGTCCTTCCTTGCTGCAGCATCATCCTTCGTGCAAGGGCTCTGGTGTCTCGTGTCACGGAGATGGGCAGAGAGCATTTCTAGAGCCTGAATCTGAATTATGGTCACTTACGAGGTGCAGCGTACACACCAAGTGTGCTGCTGAGGGGACTTGTGGCCTTCAGAAAGCTCCCTGGAGCGTCCGGCCACTGGTGTGTCTCCAGGTCCTCATGCTACAACAAGGAGAGGAGCTCTTCTGGATCATGGCTTTTTTTTGTAAGAGTGAACACATCCGTAGCATGAGATCCTCTGGTTTGTGGTGATGTGGAAGTGCTCTGAAGAGCACTTCTGGAGCATAATCACCACCTGCTTTCTCTTGCAGCACAAATTTAATTCTTGTGGTCCATGTGTGGAAAACAGTCTATAAAGAAGTAGTAGGCTGGGAGCAAGGCATGTTCAGAAACCCTACCCTCTTTAGGAAGCTCACACATCTTCTGTTCCCGTCAAGCGCCTGACTGTGTCCCAGAGGAGTACTAATACTGTGTATAAATTGATGATCGTGGTGATCAACAACGTTCAGAAGGCTGAAAGATTTCAAATGGGGCAATTTTTATAAACTCTGCAACCACTCTGTTCTCTGTGTGGAAAATAAATGCCCTTTTAGGTTATCAAAAGGTAGGCAAAACCAAAGAAGCTTCTTCAGAAAATATTGATAGATATTTTGTATATTTCAGTCCTAATTTAAATTGTTTCTGGTTAGTTATACAGGAAGGTTCCTGGCACTTGTGGAACCAATGATTTTGACTTGTCACTGAATGTTTTTTGCAGCTTCTGTTGGGAAGGATACAGACATTCCTCATGCCTTGTGGGGAATG